TAGTCGAAAAAGCTTAAGAGCTGTTTGTTCAGAGCAGATGGGCTGGGGCTGGGGAGTCTGTGAGGCACATTTTGTGAAAATGCAAGTTTTGGGGAGAGGGCCTGTAGGGATTTTAAAAATCATATCGTCCAAGGGCTGCTGCCTCCCACGGTCCACCCTCTCCACCTGGATTCCCAGGTGCCATCTGGCCACAGGTATGGGGCAGCGCCAGCCTGGGCCGCAGGTCCCTGCTGTGGCCGGGAGGGGCGCCACATACCGCCCCAGGCGTTAGGGTGGTGCCAACCTCAGGATCTGCAGCTCTGGCGGTCAGGGCCTGGCTGCAGGCTAAATGGAGGCAGGTCTGCTGCTGAGCTGGCCAGGAGGAGGGATGGAAAGCCAGGGCCGGACGGCAGCCAGTTTTTGCCCTGATCTCCCGCCAGTTCCTCTGGGGGCTGGGGAGCTTTCTGGGCCTAGGGGGAAAGGCCGAGGGAAAGAGACTCGGTCACAAAAGTGACGTGGTGCCAGGCTGTGTCAGAGGCTACTGGGCGGCAGGGGACCTACAAACCGGGCCCCACTCAAGCACCAAAGATGTCCCCCGGGGGCAGGTGCCCGGCTTAGCTGCAGTTAGGTGGGGAACCTGCAGCTTCAAGACCACATGTGACCCTCCTGATCCCCAAGCACGGCCCCTGATCGAATCTAAACTTCACAGAACAAAAGGATTTGTTCGGTGAAATTTGGATTCAGTCAAAAGGCCACACTCAAGGACCCAGGAGGCCACATGTGGCCCCAAGGCTGCAGGTACCCCACCCCTGCTAGGGCTCGGGCTCTGCAGCCAGCTCCCTGCGCCTGGAGCCCAGTCTGCTGTTTCCCGGCTTCATGTGCCTAGACCAGTTACTTAACCTGTCTTCTCATCGGTGACACAGGTTGTCGGGAGGGTTAACTGAGTTAATGTGTGTAAAGAGCACAGCATGGATCTATGGTAAATGCCTCCTAAGTGTTAGATATTATTGTTGTTATTGTTGGTTACACCTGTTGGAGCCTGCCAGCATGGGTGGGAAAGCACACAGAAGGGCCAGTGAGTACAGCCATGCAGGCTGTGCACTGCACCCACTGACACTGGAGAATGGCACCTCTGGGGTAATGCAGTGCACAACCTGTGCAGCTGGTACACTGGCCCTAGAAGCCCAGGGCAGCCCTAGTTCAATTTCTGACTAATAGGTACCACTTGAACTTGGATCGGATGGAGCAAGGTCTCAGAGAAGATTCTTTCAATAAGGGAGGCACTGGGGCTTTTGAGCGGAGCTACAAAGGTTTGAATAAGGTGTGGCCTGGCCCTTGCTACCTTCTCAAGGCACGACTGTAGTCCCAATAGCCAGGACCTTGGCCAAGTCACTCCTTTCCGGGCCAAAGTTTTCCCCACATGTCCAGCATGAGGGGCTGAACTAGTTTTGGGATGACAAATAGGCTTTCTCCTGGTGTGCCAAGTCTGAATGACTGGCAGTGGCTGTCTGAGGCTACATAAAGTGAGAAATCAGACGCCACTTTGGGATGAAAAGCAAGGGTTCTTCGATTGATTAGTGATGTCTGCATGGGGCCAAGGAGAGGGCAGCAGAGGCATGCGTGTGGCCACACTTGCCTTCCTCCGATCAGCCCTGTGGTTCTTTAGAATTGCCAGAGGAGGTTTAAATACGCTCCAATTCCAGCGGTATGGCCTGACATCGATATTTTCTTTTCCTAAGGTGTGGCCAGGTTGAGGAGTGCCGGGGTAGGTGGCCCTAAGTCCCTTGCAGTCCTGAGCTTTCCTGACCTTCCTGATCCTGCAAATCCACCTGTGTCCTCACGGAGCTGGGGTCCTCGTTCTTTTAACAAGGTAGGTACCGTGGCTTTGAGTGACCTTGTCGGCATGGTCTATGTATTACGTAGCCTCGAGCTTTCTTCCAGCAGAGACGGCAGGGGAGGTACAAGGCCCATCTTCCGCCAGTCTCATTTCTGGGGAGAGATTTTTCGCACTTGGGAGCTGGAGGCTGAGAGCACCAACTGTGTCAGGGTTGCCTGAGTGGCCTCTTCTCGGGACACACAGTGCAGTCTTGCTGGGGGAAGATCTCACCGGGCTTGGCTTGCCCGGGCTTCAATCAAGGAAGCCCTGTGGCTCCCCCTCGGTCTCCCTTAAGCTATACCGAGTCCCCCAGGGAGGCTGGGAACCTGGGATGAACTCTGAGGTCTGTGGGAAGTGACACGCCCCAAAGGCACAGGCTCCACTCTGGGCCTCTGGACGGAGCACCGGGGGAGGAGGGAGCAGATGAAAGCTGACTGGGGCCACCGAGCTCCAGAACACAGGGTGCCCGGCATGGGGGTGGCGCGTTAGGACCACGGGCAGCCCTGCATGCTGGCAGCGCCTCCAAATTATGGTCAGGGTCCAGAGGTGCGATGTTTCTGGAAGGGTACCCTGGCTCGGCCCCTCCATGGGCCCAGAATGCAGCCAGCTTTCCTCGGCCCCTCCCGTCACCCCCCAGGGCCCAGCCCTGAAGTCCAAGGAACAAGTTGTGCAGCCTGGGCCTCCCAGAGGGGCACGGCCTCCCACCCGGAGCAAGATAGAAGCAAGCAAATAACGTAGAATTCGATAATATTTTAAAATAAGCTTTATTTAGATTTTTTTTTTAATATTTTATATTTGCATCCATGCCTTCAAGAAACCTTTCCCACGGGAAAGGTTATTTTCATCTAATGTTACCCATAACTCATTCGCTATTTGACGTAGTTCTCTTAAATAAATCATCCTTAGTAACTCTTAGAATTATCTCCTAATTTACAAAAACTGAAATGAAAAGGAACTACTGAATCATTACCAGGAGTGGTTGCAATCTTATTTTCTTGTAAGTAAGGGAAAAACAAAAACAAAAACAAAAAAAATCAACCGAAAAAGAAATTCATGGGGGAGAAAAAGTATTTTCTGAAATCTCTCTCTGTAGAGAAAGATGCCAGTCCCGGGTGCTCTCCCTCGACCCTGGGCTCGGTGACATAGCTTGGCCGCGGGGGACAGAAAGGTCCTCATGGGTACCCTGCTTGCTCCTTCCTGCCCCCAGGGCCAGGTCAGGAGGAAAGGGAGCGGCCGGCTGGGGCTTTTCTGTTTGTTTTAGAGACTTTGGGGGGAGATAACCTATCCGTTCTGTTACAGATGGGCCAACATCTGAAACTCTCCTTGCTTCTTTGTAAGAGCTGAAAATGTTACTGTTAGCAGAAAGCGCGACTACCGTTGTCTAGCGGTGCGGGCTGGGCTGTTAGCGGTTAAGGATACGCAGGGGGGGACGCACAGGGCGACAGGAACGGGAAATGGAGTTTTAGGCCTTGAGCGGACCTGGCCGAGCAGCTCAGTCTCCTCCACCCCAGCGCCACACGGCTCATGGTTCCTCCCTGGGGCCATCCGCTCCCCGCACAGGCAGATGTTCCCGCCAGCCCTCCTCGCCTGGGGTGGGTGGGCGCAGGCTGCTGTGACAAGCTGGGGGACAGAGCCTGAGGGACCCCGAGAGATTCTATGTGTGGCTGAAGGAACCAACCAGAACGGGGAGGGCCGAGGGTCAGGTGCCGGACACCGTGTCCTCAACAGCTCCCAGCTCGAGGCGGGCGCCTCCCCGGCGACACCTGCCTGGCTCACGTGCAGGATGAGCCCAGGACGGGCAGGCCCAGCTGCAGGGAGGAACGTGCGCTGCGGGAGGCCCCTGTGGAGCTGACCCGGGCCCAGGGCCGTACCCTGTGGATGTGCGGCGTGGGCAGTCTCCCCTGACTCAGCCTCCCTCTAAAGACAGACCCAAAGGGTGGGGGTCGTGATAGTCAGCACTCTGCTCACTGAGGTCGTGTCCTGTGTGTCACATATGTAAATATACATGGAAAGGCCTGGAGAGAGCTCTGGGTGGGAAGAAGGTGGGGCGCACTTTCATGCAGGGGCAGGAAAATGGGGGAGAGAGAAAGAGAGAACGAAAGAGAGAGAGAGAGGGGAGGGAGAGGACAGAAAAAGCAAGCTTTGAAACCCAGCGGTCCCTGGGTCCCGGCCACCCTAAACTCCATTTGCACAGCTTGGCAGCAGCATGGTACGAACTAGAACAGACAAGTCAACAGAAACACCCGCCTCCCGCCCACCCCGTGGAAAAATAGACATTCCGATATTTATGTAATAATTTAGATAGAATAAGTTTTCTGCATTTGTGCAAATAAATTAAACGCAACAATTTTCTTTTTCTTCTTTTTTCCATAAAGAAAGAAACGGCAACGCAATTTAAAAACTGGCAGGCCGTTTAAAAAGAGCCCGTTTGACCTCTGCCAAACCCAGCCAAGTCGAGGCCCCCCGGCTGGGCTTGCGAGTCTTTGCGGAGAGCGGACCTTACCCTGATGACGATGGCATTGTGTGGCTAAAGTGACTTGGGCGCACCCCGAGGGCAGGGTCTGGTCCCGCACGTTCACACTGGGGGGTGGGGGGACACCGGAGACAGACCACATCCTCGGCGAGACGGGCTCCAGGAGTAGCGGTTTGGACGAGGGACATTTACAAGCACGGAGTGCACAATAGTTTTGTTATTTACAAATACACAGCAGTCCTTCAAGTTTTCAAGTTTCATAAAAAGGAGGAGGGAAGGAGAAAGGGAAAAAAACGAAACAAAACAATGAACCAAACAAAAAGAAATTAAAAAAACAAAAAAACCCAAACATTGAAAAATAATAAACCAGATTAACGACACAACTGCAGCGCTCCAGAGACGACAGAGGGTTGACATGTTCACACACGGTTCGTAGTATGTACATCAATTACAGAGGTGGCGACGCAGGGGGAAGGGTCCGCACGCGGGGGTCGCTCGCCGGGGCGCTCGGCCACCCCCGGCACCCACGCGTGCGCGCACACGTGCACTCGCACCCACGCACGGCCACACGCGCACCCCACGCACGCTCCACGCACACGCCCGCCGGGCTCGGGCCGGGAGGCGCGCATCACCAGTCCGCGTCCTCCTCTATGTAATAATCAGGGGCGGTACCATCAAAGAGGCCGGGGTCGAGGGACTTCCGCTGCTTCCCTCTGGCGAAGACACGGGAGATGGAGCCGAATCCCATCTTCTCTTTCTTCTTTTTCCGTTTTTGGTCTTCAAGATCCTCTAGTGACTGAGGCGGCGGGAGCGCGGCAGAGGGAGGGGAGAAGAAGAAAGCCGGGCTTAGCTGGGGGCGGAGGGCAGGGGCAGGCGGAGGGCAGGAAGGGGGCTCTGAGCTGGGAGCCGGAGGGACAGGGACGGCCCCGTGGCTGGGCGGGAGTGCCAGGGTCCGCCCCTCCCTTGCTGGGCAAACTTGGGCCAGTCCTGGAAGCCCTCAGGGGCAGCAGTAGGACCTGTCCTCGACTGGCATGAGGATGTCACTAGACGCTGAGAGCAGTGCCCGGTGCGTTAGCAGGCAGTGAACGAGCTGCCGTTGTTGTGTGCACCGTTCCTGCTACTCCAGTTCAGCCTGCCTACACCCTCGGGTGCTTGTCCAGGGCTTGCGGGGGACATCCACGCACTCGGCCACTGCCGTGGTTTTGTCCGTGATGCGAGCAGGCCCTGTCTGCGGTGCCAGGGCTCTACGCACACAGAGAGTGATGAGGGCGAGGGGGGTGGGAGAGGCTGGAAAACGAGGAGGAAGCTGCAGCTGGTGTCAACCAAGGCCAAGGGCCCTGTGCCTGAAAGTTTGGGGCAGTCCCAGCCACAGGGAAGCCAGTGGGGGCGGGTGGGGCTGGGTTTCAGTCCCGACTATCACCACCGGTGGACCCCTGGGGAGCCCTCTGGCTCCCCTGAAATGTTTTCTTGTCTGAGACGTGGGGACAGTAATAACAAGGATGACAATGGTGGTGGATCTGCTCTGCTCTCCCATTGGGGATACAATGGGCGCTGGGGACAGAAGTCTGCAGGGCAGTTCTGCAGACTGCCAAGTACTGCCAGGTACTTTATGCAGACACGTGGTAGCGTTATCCATAAAACAGGTGAGGTTTGGACTATGTTTGCAGTTCCCAAAATACTTCAGAATTCCCGGCCCCGCCCCACACCTGGTGGATCAGAATCCCCAGGTTGAAGGGCCCGGGAATCTGCATTTGAGCCATTTCCCTGGTGGGCCCTGACGCAGACGGGTGGGGCAAAGACCAGCATGTGGGGGCCCTGGGACTGGAGAGATGATCTCTGAGACCCTGCTGACCCTCACATCCACGTCGCCCTGTCCTCCCTGCAGCCCCTCCCCACTCTCACGACAGAATAGTGAAATGTCAAAATGGTCAAAGTGTTCCTGGCAGCAAGGAGCCCAGCACCTCAGTTAACAGGCTTTCAATGGTAATGGTCATTTTATAAAACCGGCTGCCAGGGGACTGCACCGGCCAGGGCCACAGGATGGGGGACATGCGAGCACACGGGAGCCCTGCTGCCCAGCAGAGGACAGCAGGAGGCAGCCCCAGGTGCTGAGCCTGGCTCAGGTGCCAGCCCGTGTGTGACACAGGTGTGGCTTAACTCCTCTCTGCCTGGGGTGCCGAGTATGGAAGCAAATGGGAATGAGGGCCCAGGGGAGCAAGGGCTGAGGTCACGGTCAAGCTGGGGTGGAGGGAGGGCCCTGGGGCCGGGGAAGGCGCACCTACCTGTACAATAGGGTTGTGCAGGTTCTTCTGAACCGGGCCGGGACTGTCGCCCTGTAGCCAAAGGAGAAGAGGAAGATGAAACAGGAGACACAGGACACAGGTGAAGGCAGCCATCCCCCCGGGGCCACCCTGCCCTGTAGTGGGGACCCACCTGCCCCCCCACTTCCCGAAGCAGACAGTCCTGGTGGCTTGTTGACGCAGTGTGGGGTGAAGATGCTGCCTGGACAAGGGGTTCTAGACAGAGGCCCCTGCCTGCTCTGGCCTCTCCACCCCCAACAGCCTCTGACCAACAAATCAGTCACTCAAAGGCTTCAAATTCCTGTCCCGATAGGTCAGGAATGGCGTTAGAACCAGGGCTTGGTTATACTTGATGCTTTTCATTAAAAAAAAAAAAAAAAAAACTTTTATAGATAAATCACAAAATAAGGGATTTCTGGACAGAAACAGACTTGGGAGACTACATAGCCTCTAGCTTGGGAAGCATAAGCAACACAAAAAATCTCTCATTTTGCGGAAGTGTAGACAGGACTCATCAGCACTGTTTACAGACACGAGGACAGGCTCCAGACAGCCCAGCATCATGGAACTAACTAAATTGTGAGTTGCAGCTCAAATTTGGGGCTGATTGCTCCTGGCACAGTGCTCCTTCTAGGCAGGGGCTCCAGGGCACAGTCGGTCCCGTGCTTCGGGCCACCCCAGGATCCCTACCCACAAGGTCTGAGCGCCCTCCCTCCTCCCCAGGGCGCCTCACACGGGCCCAGGCAGCCAAGGCATTTCCACTGTGTCGCCAGCCCTGCCCTAGGTGGGTGGGGAGGGAACCTTAGTAGCCTGCGGGTGTGCAAAAGTCCTCCCTGCTTCTCAGAACCAGTCGGCCCGCCGGGAGGCAAAAGATCGTCTAGATCAGGGGTCCCCTCACTTTTTAAACAGGGGGCCAGTTCACTGTCCCTCAGACCGTTGGAAAGTGTGGCGCACATTCCACACATGTGCACTATGGGCCCGGGACGAGTCAACTGCTAAGCAGGCCAGGAAGCGGCAGCAAAAACACCCTGAGGGCCGGATAAATGTCCTCAGTGGGCAGCCGTAGTTTGAGGACCCCTGGTAGATCACAAGTCATTTCTGGGGAGCCTCTGGTGGCTGTTTCTGGAATTGCAGGCATAGTGCCTAAGAGGTAACAATGTCTCTCAACTTTTCCAACCTCTCTGTGCTAAGTCCCCACCTCTGCTCTAAATTAGCCACCAGAGTGCGAGTGGATGAGGTGATCCATAGTTCAGGCTACGGTGCCAGGTTAGGTGCCTGAGGACAGAGGATTACCTGGAGCCATTTTCTGGCTCTTCCTGGCTTACCTGTGTGCACATCTGTTGGGATAGGGGATAAAAGGGGTTGAGGAAGGGAGGGATTTCACAAATGGTAGTTTAATCTTTGGTCCCATCTCGAGGTTTGCAAATGGAGTCTGTTCTGCAGGCAGCTAAGACAGTTCTACTCCGGGTAGGACCATCTTTGACACACTTGGGGGTAAGAGAATGGGGCCAGCGCCCACTGGAACACCCACGTGCAGACCACTGGCTCATCAAAACACTCATTTCCCAGCGGCAGGGCCTTGCGTAAGGCGAGCTTGGGAAGAAAAGTGCTGGAACTGCGGCAGCAGGTGCGTGCCAAGGCTGAGCCGCGCAACGGCCAGGCCTCTGTCGAATGCAAGTCGAGAGGCCCCCAGAGAAGCCCTTCTGCAGAGTGGATTTCCCAGCAGCATTTGTGCTGTCAGAGCCCCCGTGGGCCACCAGGAGAAGACAAGGTACGGTTCCTGGGGAGGTGCTCTCATTTGGGACGTGCGTGGCCACTGTCGGGTGTCTGGCCCAAGGCGTAACTCCAAGGTGGGCCTTCGGAGCCAGGGAGTGGACGACAGAGGGCCCTCTAGTGGCCCACCTTCCCTGTCATGGTTCTGTCTTCAAGACAGCCTCTGTCACTAGGATTCTGCCCTGGGGACAAGAACACACTGCTTCCCTAAAGCCCAACTAAAAAAAAAAGAAAAAAAAAATTCCCAGCTCTGAGCAGGGCCGACCTTCCTCCCGTCCTGAGTGGGCTGAGACCGCAGGGCCAGCAACGCCTGCCGCCCACGCCGCCACGCCGCGGCGGCTTCTGTTGCTTAGTCTTGGCTATTGTTATAAGCACCTTTCACTGTTATTGTGGTCTGGGGAAAAAAATGGGTCCATCATTATGACTCACATATGGGAAGGCTACTGATTTTTATAAATTGATTTTCGACCAGGACGGCGATGTGCTCGCTTCCTGTTAGTTCTAACAGCTTTCTAAGCTATCCTCTGGAGTTCTCCAGGTAGACAATCGTACCAACGGCAAGCCATGGTTCTGCCCAATGCGTTCACCTCGTTTCTTTTTTGTTATCTATTTCGCTGGTTAATAAAGCGGCAATAACCGAGATTTTGCAAAAGCCTCCCTGCGCACTGAAGACCCAGCCCCGTGGCGTCTGTCTCTGGGACATGGCAGGGAGCCCTCTGTATTGTCACCTGTGTGATGGAACGAAAACTCACAGTGGTCCCCGCACCCTGACCCGTGTTCCATGAGCCTCGACGTGGCTTCCGACTGTCCTCAGACACCGGCCCCGCCTCCCTCTCTGCCTCGGAGCCCGTCTGCCTGCACCACCAGTCACCAGGAGCTAGGTGGCTGGACTTGTGCCTCTTGGCGGCTGGTGCCCAGCAGAGAACCAAAAAGTGGTTAATGAAATAAGCAAAGTAAACAAACTTGGAACGAGTCCGCCCGCCTTTCCCAAGGCAATACGTGCCCACACTACGGGGTGAAGGACGGAGAGCTGGCTCTAAAGGGACGCGAGGTGGTGCTGGCCAGGCCCCGCTCCAGCGGGTAACGTCTGGGAGGAGGAGCCCGCGGTCCCAGACAGGGCCGCCAGTTCCAGCTGCACGGACCCCAGGCCGACCCAGGCCCGCTTCCTCTGGATCCTCCTCACCCTCCCGGACATAAGGAGCAAACGGGCCTCATCTCTGTCTCTCCCCACAGCCATCGCTTCTTGCGAAAGAAAGAACAGAACAGGAAATGCATTCGCCAGAGCGCGCCCTGGGTAGACGAGAGGAAACAGCGAGTCCGGCTTCGCCCGCCACCGGCCCCTGCCCGGGGGCCCGGCCCGCCTGCTGCTGGCCTTACGTTGCAGAGGGAGTGCGTCCGGTGTCGAGGGGAGTTGATGTCGCTCGGCGTGGACGACCGGTCGCCTTCGGCAGCAGAGGCGTCGGAGATGACAGAGGGCTGCCGGGAGTGGCAGGGGCTCACCCTGACCGCTGGAAAGCAGGGACAGCTGGTGAGTGAGGGATGGAGCCAGTGTCCCCGCCTGGACCACCCTGCAGGTGATTCGACCCACTGCTCCCATCATACAGATGGGGGCACTGAGGCCTGGAGAAGGGAAGAGACTTGCCAGTTCCCCGCCCCACCTGTTCCCGCAGAGCAGCTCTGGGGAGAATCTCCCTCAGCTGGATCCGCTCAGCCCCTCCCCGCCAGGCTGGGGCAGGAGGAGGAGTCTCGGGGGTTTCTGGGACGTCCGTGACAGCTCGCGTGCTCCCACCACCTGGACGTTCCCTAGACCTGCGATCCTAAACTCTGCCCTGCACCAGCTTCTTGTACAGGAAGCGGAGAAGCCCCCCCCACCCCTCCGCTCTTCCCCCTCACCCCGCCCCGGCAGCAGCTGCGCCTCCAGGACGCAGCCCCCATCCTTCCACGTCGCTCAGCCCCACCGCCCGCCTCTCGCTTGCAGGGTCGCACAGCCCCCGGGGCGTCCCTGCCTGCACGGCTTGCATTGCAGCCAGGCCACAGGCAGGTCCTGGCCCTCCCCGACCTGGTCGTGAGGCCCGGTGGCTGCTGCCCTGCCCACCCCACAGCCTCAGCTGGGCTCCTTGTCACTGTCTCTGCACTTGGAGCCACACCAGCCCTCTGGCGGTGCCCGAGGCAGGCCTCCCCACCTCGGCCATTGCTGCTGGCAGGAGCACAGCCATTCTCTGGTGTCAGCCTGTCCCGAGAGGCCTCCCCGTGGTCAGTTCTCCCTACTCCATTTTTGCTCCATCAAAGTGCCTGTCCTGTTATCTCTCCCCCTGCGCTGATTGCAACCTACAGTCATTCTGCTTGTTAGTTTATGTGTCTCATCTGCCTGCACCCTGATAACGTCAGCTCCAGGAGACCAGGCACCCTGTGGGTCTTACCCACGTTGAATCCCAGAGCTCACGTGCCTGGCACCTGTATAGCAGGTGCTCGAGAAGTCGAGGCTGAATGACAGGCCCGGTTCAGAAGCCTCCCAAGTCCCCCCGCGTAGACTGCCCTGTCTGCAGCTGCTGGCACTGGACAGAAAAAGCATCTTCTGCTGGACAAGAGCTACAGAGCACCTACTGTGTGCAGGAGGACCTACTGTGTGCAGGCAGCGTGTGAGCAGGTGGGGTTACATTCCTGCAAAAGACAGTCCTTGCTGCCAGCGACAGTGTGGTCTAACAGGTGGCTAAAGGTGCGCTGGCTTTGGAGTCAGTGCCAATCTAGGTGAGTTCACCCTGCAGGCTCCGTGACCTTGGTCACACTCCCCAAACCCTCGGAGCCATCTTACTATCTGTAAGATGGGACGACAGTGGCGCCAATCCCACAGAGCAGCTATGTGTACGATGCGCCCAGCACAGTGCCGGGCGCCGGGCGAGTCATGTGACAAACGCATCCACAGCAGTTGTGAGCCAGGGGTGAGTGCTCTGACGCAGGTAAGCACCCGGCTCTACAGGGCACAGAGGACAGGGGCCAGGGCTGGGGAGAGCAAGGAAGGCTTCCTGAAGGAGGTGAGGAGACACATGTGAGAGAGGTAGGGACTGTGGAGGAGAAACGGCCAGAGGGCAGATCCGTCGGCCTGTCCAGCCCTTCCCAGATGAGAGCCAACTCCACCGAGGATGGGGTTCGTACGTGACTTGGGTGACCTGGTGGCTGCCTCCAGCATGTGATTCAGAAACTGCCCAAGCTCTGTCTGCCTTTAAATAGCACCCCGTCCTTCTGCTGCACAAGGGCTGGACCAGGAGCCGGGAGGGCTGGCTGTGGAGCTGAGCCGTGAGACTCTGAACAAACGGTGGCCCTCTCTGGGCCTCAGTTTCCTGGCCTGACAAGGGAGCTGGACCGAGCAGGTTTATTATAACAGAGGCCAGAGCTGCCCACTGCCACCCACCCCCACCGCCAAAAAAGTCACCCCCGCCTTGGGCCAGACAGTAAAGGGAGGGCTGTGTCTCTGCTCAGTAGGAAGGGGAGCCTGAATTTGCTGTCTGGGTTCTAAAGCCCTGTGTGTCACCTATCTGTGATGACAATGATGATGATGATGATGGTGAGGGTAGCTGCTAATATGTACCCAGCACTTAGCAAGATCCAAGCTCCATTCTAGAAATTTTACACATTTCATCTCCATGACAACCTCATGGGGCAGGTAAAGGGAAGTCTTGGCAAACACACAATTAATGTGCTCTGTGCACTAAGAGCCTAGTGGGGCCATGTGAGGAAACTGGGGACCGTGGCCTGGGTCATGGGTCATGCCCCTTTGCAGCAGCAGGGCCGGGACTTGACCCCAGCAGTCTGGATGCAGAGCCGGTACCCCTCCGCCCGACTCACCTACACTGTCGGCACGCACCCTCGACAGGCAATGGCAGGCCCTGCTGGCTTGTCCCTGACCGGCCTGCCAGCCCCTTGATGGCCAGTGCTGTTGCCCACTCATCTCCTGCTGCTCCAAGGGCCAGCTCTGCCCGCAGCTGCCACAGTGACCATTTCCCACCCCCACTCTCTAGGATGCTGCCAGGTGCCTGTCCCCAACCTGCACCTATCACACAAGGACGGCCACCTGTAGGAGGGACTGAGAACAGAGCAGGGTGGCCTGCAGATGGGCAGGGGCACAGCAGTTTGGAGCTTGTATCTCGGGCAGTGGGTGCAGATGCTGCCCAGCGGCCAGACCACCCTGCCAAGTGCCTGGAGCAAACACGTGTGACATCATTTATACCTCCCTGCCCCTGTGAGCCCTGGCTGGAGCTGTCATCAGGCACAGAGTTCTGCTGCCTCGCCAAAGATGCCCACGTGATCCGGGCTGGCCAATCAGACTCTTCCTTTGGAATTTGATATGGATACAAGAGGAAGAGACAGTTTCTCTTTCTCAAGACTTTTGAGCTAAGAGGGCCTTATAAGTTTGGAACTGCTGGGGACTGTTTTGCTGCCTTATAGAAAGAGGCAACCTAAAGATGAGCCCAGATGGAGGTAGGGATAGCTGAGTAATGGAGAGAGATGGTCAGAGGGACCCACACATTGTTTGAACCTCTGGATCCAGCCATGCCTGAAGTCCATCTCTTAGATTTTTTCAATTACATGAGCCCAAAGTCTCTGCCCCGTTAACTGCTGTTGTGTGAACAAAGAAGCCGCCTCTCCTACTGGGTCAGATGGCCTCCTAGGAAGCCCCTTGCGGCCGTGGCTGGGCTGGGCCGGGGCAGGACTCACCTTGCCGGTCTGCAGGGTGTGGGGGGTGTGAGTGGTAGAGAGTCTGCTGGCTCTGCCGGATGGCTGCGGTCAGCGGGAGGTCGGCCTGCACCACCCACTCCTGGTTGCCGTTGAGCACCGTCTCGCCGGGCATGGCAAGGGAATGCCGCTTGGGGACGTCCTTGGTCAGCGTGGCTAAGGACTGCTTGGCCTGGAGAGAGAGCCAGGAGACAGGGAGAAGACGTGATCAGGGGACCTCTTGGCCTGCCGCTGGCATCACCCACCGCCACGGCGAGAAGGCCACGTATGACTCCCACCCGTGCCAGGTATCGCCAGCGCTGCGCTGTGTGTTGATCAGCACGGCAAACGCCTGTGCCGTTGACTGTCACCCGAGAGCTCCCCTGGGGGTTGCCGCTCAGTTGCCACCAAGAGCAAAGTGACACCAGCCACACAGAGAAAGGGGGTCCCAGAACATTCTTATCCCCATTCTCGTGAGTTCTCCAACCACCAGCTGGAATTTGAACGCGATTGCAGGAAAATGGTATTTTGGCTTCCGTTATCTTAACTCCTCCTAAATTCAACCTCCTATCTCCCTCACAAGGTTCTACCTGGGAAAGATCATGTGCACCTTTTGCAGAGCCAAGGGGGAGACGGGCCATTCCACGCTCAACCCTCTCGACTATCTCCTCCTTGAAGGCAGGCCGGGACAGGCAGGTCCGCGGACCGGCTCTCGGGATCCCACGACAAGAACAGGTGAGACACGAGGAAGCCCGGGGACACGTGTGGGGCTTGGCTGGGGCAGGCGGCCCTCCCCCGGTCTGGTCACCCATGTCTTCCTCTCTGTCCCGTGTCTGAGGTCTCTTTTAGCCGTGTTATCCCCCAGGGGAGGTGGGGTTTTATTAGAAGTGATCTCAAATTCTTTTCGGGAGAAGAAGGGCATCTATTAGAAACGTATTAACGCACATTCTTTTCAGGGCAGTTGATTTCTACTTCCCGATTAGCTCCCTAGGCTCGTGCTGGGGCAGAGGGGGCCGGGCGGGGCTCACAGGGAGAAGCCCAGGGGTCTCTTGCACCTAGTGTCAGGGGAACACGGGCAGCCCTGGGGAGCTACAGCAGCAGAGCCACTGTGCCCACCGGCTTTGGCCCTCCTATGAGCACAGGTAAGATGACAAACCCATCTCATCTCTCCTAGCTCCAGAACCTTCCGTACCTTGCCCCAGGCCCCGAGTGCTTCCTGGCAGAGCAGGGGTTCTCGAGAAAGAGAGTTCTGCTCAGAAATGGACAGTTCTCGGCCTAGAGCCTGATGTACGCGCATCAGATTGGCCAGCTTTGTTATTTTAGACAAATCACTGCCTCCTCGGAGCCTCGGTTTCCCCATCTGTACCAGGAAAACCCTGGACCAAGTGATCCTCAGGACTCCCTCCAGCTCAGGCACTCCAGCAGTCTGTGAAATCACTTCCCTTCCACTGCCAGCCCCCGGGGAATTTAAATCCATGCAGCAGAGGTGGGGCCGATGGCGTCAACTTTGCCCCCAAACCAGCTAATCGCCCCCCCTCTGGCCTAGCAACCCTCTGTGCTCCACACCCTCATGTGCTCAGCATAACCGCCCTGAGTTGCGAGGAGGGAGTATGGGATTATTGTGCTTGACAAGAAACCAGAAGCTCAGAGAGGTGGAGTGACCTCTCCAAGAGCGCACAGCGGGCACAACATCCAACCTGGGCCCCAAACCTCAGTGCCTGACGGGGCGGCACCTTTTCCCTGTGCCTTCCCGTGCGGCTAGGAAACAAGCAGCACAAGTGACTCGGACTTCAGAGAAGGCGGCACGTCTGCTCGCTCACCACGGAACCCCCACGCCTGGCCCGGGCGTGGCACATCCAGGAAAAACTGCACCCACTAAACATCCACAGACTGAAAGGAAGCAGCCTCTGCCTGACAAAGCCTTTGTCATGCCCGAGGTGGCCCAGGGATCAGCTGTGGTGGCCGCCTGCAAGAACAATGGGCGATCCCTCTGTTTAAGGATGAACTAGGCCAGGTGTGTCTCAAAGCCACCGTACAGACTCGCGTTTCCTGCACCGCCACACCTCGCCCAGGTGAGTCAGGGCACCACACCTGCTCTCCCTCCGGCTGCAGCAGGGAGAGCCTCACAGCCCTCCCGGCTGCGACCACTCAGCTGTGTCTGGGGGGATGCCCCACTGCCCTGCTTCCTCTGCGCCCTCCATCTGGGCTGCCTGCAATGCGGGACTCGGGGAAATGAGCACCAGGGTGGTCTGCGTCAGGCGGCAATGAACCCTCAGCTCTCCGCTCCTGCAGACACCCCCAGCCACGTCCGTGGAAAGCACAGGAAGGTCCAAGGTGGCCCCTGGGACAGGCGGTCCCTTGCAGCAGCACAGGAGGGGGAGAGAAGAGGCGTGGATGGGATCGCTCTCCTGACCCCCCACCCCCACCCCTGCCGCTTTCTCCTCCCAGGTGGGGCCCCCTTGTCTGGGCCTGGCAGCCTGACATCCTTCCCACCTGACAGTTTGGATGTCCCTACAGTCGGTCCTTCAGAATGGGGTGTACCTGCGAGTTCTGAAGCACAGAGACCGCTCACAAACCGCCCACTCTGCCCACTCAGGGTTTTAGACTTGAGACAGATACAACAGAGAGGAGCTGTAGGCAAGGTGTGTCTGATCTAAAACACATGTGTGTGCACACATGATCACGTCCCTGCGGCAACTCGCACACGTCTGTGACTAACCTCTCCCGCAACCCGAGGTCTAGCGCTGGGCGGGCCTGGGCTCTGACGCCCACCGCTCTGAGCCTCCGCCGCCTCCTGGGCATCCGAGCCCGCAATGTCAAGCTCCTGGGAATTGGTAACTTGGCACAAACATGTCCATGTGACAAAAGTCAGACAGAACTGGGTTCAAACTCTCCTTCTCCTGCTTAACTTGCTGCTGTATGACCTTGAGCAAGTGACCCCACCATTCTGAGCCCCAGGGTGGTCCTACCACATAAGACGAGGAAACTAAGAAGGGACATGTTTATATAGGTAGCACCCTCTGGCACTGTGTGATGAGGTGGCCCAGGCCGGAGCACAGGGCTCTGTGGGGCTCTGAAATCAGACCTCCTGGATGAGATCCTCGTCCTGCCACCTCTGAGCCGTGGGACCTTACCGGGGCTCCTCGCTTCTCCTGCCTTCCTGCCCCCTCCGTCTGATGGGGATGCAGACCGCGCCTCCCTCCCACGGCGGCCGTGGAGAGTGCCTGGCCCACGGTAAGAACACTGGACAGTATCAGCGACTGTTACTGTCAAACAGTTTCTACTTGCCACGCGGGGATTAGATGAGGAGTGACTCACACGCAGGCCCAGGATCTAGTCTGGCCCCGTCACGTTTAACAAGCAGCAGCCTTGGTGGCTAAGGCAGGACGACTTACGCCTCCCTAAGACTGGGCAGTGAGACCACGAGGGAAGGGGAGACGCAGTGCAGGGTCCTGCCCTCACCCACCCTTGGGCTTGGGCCGATGGCAGCTCCGCACCACCAGTGTCTGCTGGGAGGAGGAGCCGGAACCTGAGTTTTGTTGGCCAGAACGGAAGCAGGGTGAGAGTCCAGGCGTGGTGGAGTGGAAGCCAAGGCGAGCTGGCTCTCAGTCCAGAAAGACCCAGGAGTGCCCAGGAGGCCCGAGGCCAGCCTTCCAAGGCAAGGGAGACACATCCGTCCGTACACTGGGAGCTAGGAAGGCCTGGAGAACAGGGGCCGCCTCCTGCACCCCGTTTCCTGGCCTGCAACTTGAAAGGTTGCTGTCCGGGCTGCAGGAGACAGCAGGGACTCAGCACCACTGACCCCACTGGTGGGACCCCACCCCCCACCCACCTGGGGTCCCTGCAGCAGCAGCTTTTCTCTGCCCAGGCAGCTGCCACCACTAGGGGTCAGCACGGGACAAGGAGACCCAGGAGAGGCGCCTGGACCCTGTCCTGGCCACCTGGTCCTAAGGCAAGTGACCTTAGAAAACCACTGCCACCGTGTACCACGCACAGGCACCGTGCTAAACGCTTCTCTGGCATCGCTTCATCAAAAGCCTCACAAGAGCCCCGTGGAGCACAGGCGACCCTTAAAGGACACAGGTTAGAGCTGCTCTGGTCCACGGACCCTGCGTCCTTTCTCCTGCCTCCGCCACCCCTGGGGCAGCAGGACCGACCCCTCCCCTTCCTCCTCCTCCTTGGCCTACTCAGTGTGAAGATGATGAGGATGGAGACTTTGTGACGATCCACTTCTGCTTAGTGACTAGCAAACACATTTCTTTCGGTTTTCTTAGTAACATTTTTTCCCTAGCTCCTTCAGTGTGAGAATCCAGCATATAACGTACACCGCGTGTGTTCGTTGCCTGTTTGTCAGTGGTAAAGCTTCCAGGCAATACCTGGCTGTAGGTAGTTAGGTTTTGGGGAGTCAAAGTTACCTATGGATTTTCACTGTGCAGGGGTCAGTGCCCCGCCCCCTGCGTTGTTCGAAGGTCAAGTGTAAATGCACTTATCCCTACTGAGAGTGGACAGAATAGAGGCCAGAGAGGTGAAGGATCCTGCCCTCAGCCACACAGCCCGGAAGCGACGGGGGCTGGATTCGAACCCAGCTCCCCCGGCTGTACCCACAGTGTTAGCCAACATCAGCGCTCCTGGGATTGTGAATCCTGAGAGCCGTGTGCCCCACCCCACCCCTCAGGAGTCCCGGTGTGTCCTCCTGGCCACCACCACACTGAGGCCCTGGTGGCTCTCCGCACCTACCCAGCCACCCTGTGGGGAAGGCGGGTGGGACTGTGACCCCACGCACAGCCCAGCGGCAAATACAAGGCACTGAAGCCCAGGATGGTTTGGTGAGTGGCCCAAGGTCACACAGGAGCAGGCAGAGCTGACCTCCAGGGCTCTGGACCTGGGCTCTCTGCCCCACCCCACCCCCAACACAGGGGGTACGCACTTTCTCGGAAAACAGAGCGTTCGGGAGTGTTCTGATGGTCTGTTTGGGGTTAGGAAAAAAATAACCTTGTTCTCCTTGATGACCTAAGTAAGACATTTTTGTTCCAGACACATTTCAAAATAGGCTAAATAAATAAATGTCACTTGTAATCCTACCACCCTGAGATAACTGATGTTAATATTTGGGTGTATTTCCTCCCATATCTTTTTCTAAATAAATATGTATATTTCAAACGAAAAATATTCTTTGCTTCATTTTTAAGCGTCGCCTGGGGCGTGTGGAGAGTCAAGGCAGGGGACAGATGCTGTCCCAGGCTGTGGGTCAGCGTGGCCCACAGGGAAGCGAATGGGGCATCACAGGAGCCCCGCCCCGCTGCCTGTCCTGCTCTGCGCCACCCGCCCCACTCTGGGACCCTGGGGGCGACGTCCTGGAGCCCGTGCTGCCCCGGGAGGGAAGGGGTCTCACCATGGCCAGCTCGGCCTCCAGCTCCTTCATCCGGTTGTCCTTGAGGTCCAGCTGGGAGCGCAGCGCCGTGGCGTGGTCCGTGGCCTCCTTGGCCTGGCGCCGAAGCTCCCACTTCTCGCGCTCCAGCAGGTCCTTCTCCTTGGCCAGGGCCTTGACCGCGTCCTCGCTCTCCTGTGGGCGGGGACAGAGGGTAGCGGGCGTCACTACAGGCGGGGCCCTCCTGGGCCGGGGACACCTGCAGGGGCTTGGGCCTTGGGGGAGAGGGATGCAGGGAGGCCCCACGGCCTCCTTTCTGCACAGTTCTTCCCTCCCCGCTGGCTTCCCAGGACTGGGCTCTGTGCGGGGCAGCCACGGCCACACTCCTGCCCCCCCCGCCCCGCCCCCCGGGCTGTTTCCTTCTCTGGGCGTGCCAGCGAGACCAATGCCAGGCAGTGGCGGATGAGGGGCCCACGGGAAGGGTTTTGGAGTCCACTGTGGAGTTTTTGTCATCAAATGATTGACTCTGAATCCCCAAAGGCAATAACAATTACAGGCCAGGTGAGGTGGCTCATGTCTAATCCCAGCACTTGGGGAGGCTGAGATAGGAGGATCCCTTGAGGCCAGTAGTTTGAGATCAGCCCAAGCAACATAGCAAGACCTTGTCTCTACCAAAAATAGAAAAAATTAGCCAGATGTTGTGGTGCACACCTGTAGTCCCAGCTACTTGGGAGGTTGAGGAAGGAGGATTGTTTGAGCCCAGGAGTTTGAGGTTGCTGTGAGCTATGCTGATGCCACTATACTCTACCTGGGCAATAGGTTGAGACCTGTCTCAAAAAAAAAAAAAAAAAAAAAAAAGGATGCTAATAAATAATAACAAGAGCAAGCATTTTCTCCCCACTTGCTTTCCGGGCACCGGAAACCTCAGTGCTGACGACACTGGGCTCTGATGAGCTGCTATCATTACCCTGAGTCCGCTGTTTGCACAAACCACCCAGCCAGCAAGCGCCGAGGTGAGACTCTAACCCAGCTGTCTGCCCTTAACCACCCTGCCACCCCGTCCCAGGCCAGGGACGCTGATGATCCAGGGGGAAAGGCGGTGTTCGAGGTCCGCGTGGTGCCCGTCTCCTGCCCCGGGGCCAGCACATTGCTGAAGGTGTGTCTGGCCGTGGGCTGGTTCTCTGGCCCCTGTGTCCTGTCCCTGTCAAACATGGGGTGACCAGGCTTCCCTGCTGATGGGCAAAAAGCCAGCCAGGCAAAGGCTCTCCCTGCCTCGACTGCTGAAGAAAGACTGGGCTCCTTGGGACCCCTCCAGCCCCCCCCCAGCTGGGGAAGGAGAAAGGACAGAGGTGGACAGAGCGGGGCAGGCGGGGAACCCGCGGCTGCAGTAAGACGCTGTGCCGGGCACTGGGGGGAGTGGATAGGGGGTGGGGAGAGGCGCACAGTGCAGGCACACGGGACCCAGGCCCTGCCAACTTGCCCTGCTGGCCGGCTGCACGGCGGTGGATGGCTGATCTCACCTGTGTCTGTCAACTCATCTGTGAGACGGGGGACAATCGTATTGGTGTCAATAAACACACACGAGGCTCTGGGAACTCTGCCTGTAAGCGCTTAAAAGTACACACTATAACTATGACAGAGCACGCCTGCGTGCACATGTGTTTGCACCTAGGTGTGCATCTACTCTCGTCTCAGAGAGGGACGAGCACCTAGAGTCAAGTTCAGTCTCTGATGCCCTGGCCGCTCCACTCTGGCTCAGGGGCAGCATCTGAGGGGACTCACTCCCCTGGCCCATGGCTGCCGACCCCTCAAAGAGCCCCTCAAACCCTCTGTCACCAGAGAAGCTTCAAGCTGAACAAACCTCCCGCCTCTGTTTCTGCCCTGGGTACATGGCTTGGTCACAGCCCTTGTCACGTGGTGTCATGGACTTGGACAGTGGTTTTCAACCATCTTTCTGCCCTGCACACCTGAAGGCCGTAATTCTCCCTGCAGACACAGCAGCTCGCTAAGGCCTGCTTGGCTGGGAAACTGACTTGATTCCAGTTTTGGTATCCTCTTGGCATGTCTACACCACATACACCAGAAAGATATGTGCTGAACCAAATTCCTCGGTTATCTGACCCGTAAAGTCCTACTCATCCCACAGAGCTCCAATACTTATGTCACTTCCTCCGTGAAGCCTTCCAAGACTCCCTCTTGCAGGCAGAATTTCCCGTGTCTCACCGGTGCTGCCCAGCTCCCTCTTGGCTTTTGTTACGGTGTTAGCGAGCGTCAACTCTGCACCGCATGAACGCGTGCTCGTTACGTGCCGGGCACCAGGCCAGGTGCTCCGCGTTCGTCATCTCACAGAATCCTCATGGCAACCTTGCACGGCCCTTACAGTCAGCATTTTGCAGAAGAGCAAACAGGCTCTGCAGGTTAAGCGAGACGGCCAAGGGCGCACACAGGGGGGCCGGGGTGTGAGCCAGCCGGACTCCTGGGGCCACACTGTCCCGACCGTGCCGTCCTGTCCAGGCCTGTCTGCCCAGGAGACACGGAGCCCCCAGCCAGGGGCTGTGCCAGTTTCATCTCGGTGTCCAGGCCTGGCCGGACACACGGGAGGCCTCCCCACCTGTGTTTCGGGATTGGAGAGGCAGACCCCGTGCTGGGCCCAGAAGGTGGCCCGCAAGCGGGGGAGAGGAGGGAGCTGGCGCGTCCGCAGAGGGGAGGGGAGGGGCGGCGGCTGCTGACCTTGCGGTGCTGCTCGTAGTTGCGGATGAAGTCGCGGAGCTGCTCCTCGCGGCTCTCCAGCGTGGCGTACAGCTGCTGCATCTGGCTCACCAGGTCCGTCTTCTCGCCCTTTAAGCGCTTCCGGTCGGCTTTCATGGCTGGGGACAGAAGAGCGAGTTAGCGCCCAAGACCCTCGCCGTCTCCTCCAGGTGCCTGAATGCTGAGTGGGACATTACCACTGTCGCTTCTTTAACAGGGCTCAGAAGGATGAAGCGTCCCTCCCCAGCTCCCATGTCACTTAGTGGCTTCCCCCACATTCAAACCCAGGCCCACCTGTGTCTACAGCCCCTATCCTCACCTGTCAGATCAATCCATCCAACCAGGGGAGCAAGTCCTTGTCTAAGTGTCCTCCCCAGCCAGCTCAGGGAAGAGCTGAGGCCTGGTGAGTGCCCGACACCCACGGCCCAGGGAGCTGGAGGGCCCCGATTCCTGGCCGAAATGAACCCCCGGGGCCACGCTGAGCCTGTCCGAACCACTCAGCCCAGCCCGACAGTCCCTCATCTGAGTAGTGTTAGATTAAAAACATGCACAAGACACCAAAAGTATGAGCGATAAAAGGAAAAATAGATAAATTGGATTGCATCAACATTAAAAACTTTTGTGCATCAGAGGACATCACTGAGAAAGTAGGGAGAAAATATCTGCAGATCCTACATCTGATAAGGAAGGGATTTACATCTAGAATGTACAAATAAGTCTTACAGCTCAATAACAAAAAGAACTCATTTTAAAAAATGGGTGACCACAATGAGATATCACTTATCCCCGGTGAGAATGGCCTTTATCAAAAAGTCCCTGAACAATAAATGTTGGCGTGGATGCGGAGAGACAGGAACACTCCTACACTGCTGTGGGACTGCAGACCAGTGCAACCTCTGTGGAAAGCAGTATGGAGATACCTCAAGGACATACAGGTAGAACTACCATTTGATCCAGCAATTCCATTACTGGGCATGTACCCAAAGGAAAAAAAGACATTCTATAAAAAAGACATCTGCACTCGAATATTTATAGAAGCACAATTCACAATTGCAAAGACGTGGAAACAACCCAAGTGCCCATCAATACATGAGTGGATTAATAATATGTGGTATGTGTATACCATGTGTGTTTGTTCAGCCACAAACACAATGGTGATCTTGTATTTTCCTGGATAGAGCTAGAGCCCATTCTACTAAGTAAAGTATCATAAGAATGGAAAAACAAGCACCACATGTACTCACCAGCAAATTGGTATTAACTGATTAACACCTAGGTGCACATATAGTGGTAACATTCATCGGGTGGCGGGCAGATGCGGGGGGTGGCGGGTATGGGTATATACACAGCCAGTGGGTGTGGTGGGCACCGTCTGGGGGATGGACGCGCTTGAAGCTCTGACTCAGGTGGGGCAAGGGCAATATACGTAACCTAAAAGTTTGTACCCCCGAAATATGCTGAAATAAAAAAAAATTAAAAAAAAAAAAAAGAGCCAGACTGTGTCATGTTCCATAAAGGCAGAATTAGGGTTCAAAATAGAAACTTATTTCAGTTGTAGGAAAAAAAGTTATATTTTTTGCTCATGCAAATTGTGAGCTGAAACTCATAATCACTGAGTTATTATTAATCACTAAGTAGCTTTTATAGCAGGCCTTTTTCACTTATAACTAGTAATGGGCATATATAATAATAGTTTTCAGTAATGCATTTTTTTTTGGATGCCTTACCTCAATATGTATCAACCAAGTGTCTTAGTGGATAAATTTTTTAAATGCTAAAAAAAAATAATAATTAAAAAAAGGGCAACAGACATGACTAGATATTTCTCCAAGAAATGGCAATAAGCACATGACAAGATGCTCAACACCCTCCTCCAGGGAAATGCAAATCAAAGCCACAATGAGATACCACTTTGCACTCGCTAGAGTGGCTAAAATAAAAAAGACAGACAGTAACAAGTGTGGGTGAGGATGCAAAGAAATCGGACCCCGCATATACGGCTGGTGGGAACATAAAATGGTGTAGCTGCTTTGGAAAACAGTCTGGCAGTTTCTCAAAAGATTAAACATAGAGTCACCACCTGACCCAGCAGTTCTACTCCCAGGCATTACATCAAAGAGAAATGAAAACATCTGCCTACACAAAAACTTGATGCAAATGCACTATTTATACTAGCCAGAAAGGCAGAAACCACCCAAAAGTCCATGGATGGATGAATGAGTAAACAAAATGAGATACAGCCACATGATGGAATATTATTTAACAATAAAAACAAGCATGTTGCCCTTCAGTGTCTATGGGGGGTTGGTTCCAGGATGCCCTGGGGACACCAAAATCCAAGGATGCTCAAGTCCTTTATACAGATGCTGTAGTCTTTGCACATCACCTGCATAATCCTCCTGCCCACTTTAAATCATCTCTAGATTACTCCTAATACCTCATACAACGTAAACGCTATGTAAACAGTTATTATACTGTATTGCTTAGGGAATACACAATAAGGAAGAAAACCAAGGGAAAAGCCAGTCCGTGTTCAGTACAGACGCAATCACCCATTTCCCCCCAAGTATTTCTGACCCCCAGTTGGTCGAATCCACAGACTTCGTGAAACCCACAGGTACGAGGCCCAGCTGTGCAGGTGTCTGCAGCAACGTGGAGGAACCTCGGAAACATGCGGAGCAAAAGGAGCCAGTGACTACGGCCCACGTATGGTAGATTCCACTCATATGAAATGTCCACAGAGGCAAATCTATTTTCCTTATCGTGGACAGAGAGGAGACAACCAGCTGCCTAGAGCTTGGGGTGGGGTCTGGGCTGGAGGGGTGGTAGTTGCTGAAGGGTGTGGAGGTTGTTTTTGAGATGATGAAAATGTTCTAACATTGGTTGTTGTGATGAGTGATGTGAATATACTAAAAACCACTGAATTGTACGCTTTAAGTGGGTGAATTGTATGGCATGTGAATTATATCTCAATAAAGTTGTTAAGAAAACAACAAAACACATAGTGTCCCACACTGAGTGGCCTCTTGCAAGGCAGTGTGACTTCTGCCCCCAGCCCTGTCTTAGGTGGTGGCGTGGGCTCAGAGCATACTCTGACTGCAGGCTGGGCTCCACACCTTCTCCCGAAGCCCCCCAGAACCCCATCCCTTCCTGGAGAGAATACTGAGGAGGGGTTTCTAACCCTTCCCTGAGGGCTCCTTGTGCCTGAAATTGTGGAGGTGGTGGTAGGGGTGGGGGAAGGAATCTTGGGCAACCTTGGGTCTAGAAGCTTCTAGTCCAAGAAGACCCAGAGTGGTTAAGTCATTTGCTTAAAGTCACATAGCCATGCCTGACCCCAAAGCCTACATACTTGACTCCATGTTATGCTGTCTCCACAGTGAAGCCCCCAAACCGGGGGACCCCCAGCCCCATGGCTAACTGGGGGCAGAAATATGAGGCAGGCAATGGCTGTCTTGTCCTAGATGTTCAATCCTGCAAACTCAGTTTTTGTTATGAAAGACTTGGGGACACCAGCCGTGGCGTGAGGACCCCGAGCTCCTGGCCTGGTGCCCAACATAAGCTGACGTCCTTCTGGCCCTGTGGGGCCCCTTCCATCCTCCTGCCCTCTGCCCCCTCCCCTGGGTAGAGCAGGGCGGGAGGCAGGCCAGCTGGGGCCAGGCCATCACGTGCGCAGAGCCGGGGGAGGAGACCCACGCAGTGGGACCCCAGGTCTCCGGTGGCCCTTTAAATTCCAGCTTTGGGCTTCCTGGCTCCCGCAGCTGGGTCCGTCCCCTTCCTGGTCAGCTTGGCAGAGGCTCAGGTCACCAGCGCTGGAATTCCAGGCCTTCTGGGCCGGAACCTTAAAGGGGAGCCACAGCAGAGTCCACGGAGAGGGACTCTTCCGCTTCCTTCCTGCCAGGCAGGGGGTTGCACCGCAGTCCTGGGGTGTGTGTGTGGGAGGGGGACACAGCTGGGCTGGTTTGGGGCCCTGACCTCCAGCACAGCGTGGCCACGTAAGTGATGAACCTCACTTTAAGAAAGCCCTGCATTGGCCGGGTGTGGCGGAAGGATCGCTCAAGGTCAGGGGTTCGAAACCAGCCTGAGCAAGAGCGAGACCCCGTCTCTACTATAAATAGAAAGAAATTAATTGGCCAACTACAAATATATAGAAAAAATTAGCCGAGCATATTGGCGCATGCCTGTAGTCCCAGCTACTTGGGAGGCTGAGGCAGGGGGATCGCTTGATCCCAGGAGTCTGAGGTTGCTGTGAGCTAGGCTGATGCCACAGCACTCTAGCCCGGGCAACGGAGTGAGACTCTGTCTCAAAAAGAAAAGCCTGCATCTAAAGCTGTAGCCCGGTCAGAAGGCGCCTTACCGAGCGTGGCCCAGCTGTCACGGAGGACTGGGAACCTCCACCTGCACACGCTCGCCGGACTCTGGCTGCTCTTCCACGCGAGGTGGGTGGGCACTGCTGTCATCCCATCTTACAGGGGAGGATGCTGAGGCCACGCAGCCCGTCGGTGGCAGGGCCGGGGGCGTGCTGGCGCCTGCCTCAGTCTCAGGCTGGTTTCACGCTGGCGGGCTGGAGAACAGCACGGGCGCCGTCGGGCTGGGGAGTTGCTGTGTGGGCTGGGGGTGCCGGCCCAGGCAATGTGACCACAGTGGCTTCCGGAGCCTCTGACGGCCCCTGCCCCGGTGGGGAGAGCTGCTGCCAACAGGTCGCACGGGCGCCCCGGGGGCTCACTCCTCTGCCCTCTGGTTGGAAATTAAACCCCCTGGAGAGCTGACTTGCCGCTCTCATTAACCCCATCTGGATGAAAACCAAACTGCAGACCTTGCTCTTGGCAACTGCAGCCTGGGAGGGAAGCCCCCTCGGCCCCCTAATGTGGCACTCCTGGGCCTTTTCTGACTTTCGCCAAATGGCCTTTGAGGGGGGCGATGGTGCAGCCTCTTGCCGCTCCACCCTCACGCCACCTGCCCAGAGGCCGAGGGGCGTCTCTGCGTGTGCACACGTCTCTGGGTGGACAACGTGTTGGCTGCCACCGTGGTGGGGCAGGCGCTCTACCATCTGGCCGGGGCCGGACCTGTGCCTCCGGGTTAGTAGCTGCTTCCTAAGAGGAGACCTGGGGCTCCCCCAAAC